GTTATTGATTAGTATTAAATATATTCACCATTCAAGATTCAATATTTTTCATATATAACAAATTTTGGTGTGATGTTGAAGAATAGTTTAAATGAATAACTTCCAAATATTCTTAATACTGAATGCATTCTTATTAATAAAACTATTTATGAAGATAGTGAAGATAAGGTGGATGAGCAGAAAGAACAAATAATTTTACAATTTGATATAGAAAAAGATTACTATGATTTAGGTTCTCTTTCTGTTATTTTTGATCCTTATAATTAAGAAAAAAAATTGTTATAAATTGAGATTAGTTGTTAATCATCTTATCTGTAAAATAGTTTGAAATATATTATATAAGCAAAAAGCTTGAGATGTTAACTTGGAGAATTTTATGTTAATTCTGGATGTTAAATGTGTTCATCAAATTAAGGATTTTACTCTGTTGTATATGATGCAACTAAATGTTCAATATTTGATAAAACAAAATTTAAAAATATAACTGAAAACAATATAGATTTGATTGAAGGTTTTTGGAGACCTAATTATTTATCTGATTAAATAGAAGAATGTTTTAAAAATTTAAAGTTTTGTGTAGGCGGTTGGGGATAAGGGAATTAAATATGTGACTTAGGGCATATTGGAGCATTATGTGAAGAATGTGATATTTATAATATAAGAGGAGATGGAAAATATTTTAAAAATCAATAGGATTCAAATTGTATTTCTTGTTTTGGAGTTAATGATAGTATTATCCCTTTTATAGCAGCTTCAATTTGGTAATTTAATTTAATATTTAGGTCTTTTATATCTATCATTATAACCTTAAGAAGTATTGAATAATCTAATCAATTATTCAAAAGTTTAAAATTATAATAAAGGTTCAGCAAAATTATTTTTAATCTAGAATAAGGTAATTTGATTATTTAATTTAAGGGCACGAAAGTTTTTTAATAAAAATGTTATTAAACTATTTATGGATATTCTCTGTCATATTTACATTCAATATACAATTTTAACTTTCACTCACTTTTGTTGATTCGGCTAGTAATACTTCCTATTCTATGACAAATAATTTGGATTGTTATTTATCAGAAAATCTATCCATAAAATTGATTTATTCAAAAATAATTACTATGCTTGTACTCATGACATTCTAATTTATTCTTATAATTATTGGATTTCTCATATATAATTGGTATTATAAGATTGGAATGAGGAATTTTAACTTGGAAACAATCTCTAATAGTCTACTCTACCTATATGTTTCTAATTATGGTGGATTGGTCAAAATGTAATAAAAAATTTTAATTTTTTTAGGTATTTCTCTATTGTTTCAAAAAGAGATGTTTCAAGTTAGAGCTATATCCAAGGTGATGTATCTCTACTTTTTGGATCTAAAGAACATTTAATTTGGATTTTTTCTTTTGTTATTCCAGGAATAGGAGTTTTTAGTTTGATTATACCACTTTCCCTTTTTATTATAATGCACATTAAAAAAGATGAACATGATAACATTAAGATAAGAAAACATTTTTGCTATTTAATTAATGAATACAATAACCAAAATTATTTTTGGGAAGTAATTAAGTTAATTAAAAAAACAATTATTATTCTAATATTAACATATTTTGAAACATATATTCTTTTAAAAGCATCATTGTTAGGATTATGCTTACTTTTTTATTAGTTNTATAAATTGAGATTAGCTGTTAATCATCTTAGCAAGAGAATAGTTTGAATTATGTGATATAAGCAAAAAGTTTGAAATGCTAACTTGGAGAATTTTATGTTAATTCTGGATGTTAAATTTGCTCATCAAGTTAAGGGTTTTACTCTGTAGTATATGATGCAACTAAATGTTCAATATTTGATAAAACCAAATTTAAGAATATAACTGAAAATAACATAGAATTAATTGAAGGTTTTTGGAGACCTAATTATTTATCAGATTAAATAGAGGAATGTTTTAAGAATTTTTAATTTTGTAAAGGTGGTTGGGGATAAGGAAATTAAATATGTGATTTAGGACATATTGGAGCATTGTGTGAAGAATGCGATATTTATAATATAAGAGGAGATGGAAAATATTTTAAAAATCAATAGGATTCATATTGTATATCTTGTTTTGGTGTTTAGGATAGTATAATCCCATTTATAGCAGCATCAATTTGGTAATTTCAATTAATATTTAGGTCGTTTATATCAATCATTATAACCTTAAGAAGTATTGAATAGTCTAATCTACTATTCAAAAGTTTAAAATTATAATAAAGATTCAGCAAAATTATTTTTAATCTTGAATAAGGTATATAAATCAATTATTTTAAGGGCATGAAAGTTTTTTAATAAAAATGTTATTAAATTATTTATGGATATTCTCTGTTATATTTACATTCAATATACAATTCTCGTTTTCATTCACTTTTGTTGATTCAGCCAGTAATACTTCTTACTCGATGACAAATAATTTAGATTGTTATTTATCTGAAAATCAATCAATAAAATTGATTTACTCTAAAATTATCACTATGCTTGTACTCATGACATTCTAATTTATACTTATAATTATGGGATTTCTTATTTATAATTGGTATAAAAAGATTGGATTGAGTAATTTCAACTTGGAAACTATTTCTAATAGTCTACTCTACCTTTATGTTTCTAATTATGGTGGATTGGTTAAAATGTAATTTAAATCTTAATTTCTTTTAGGTATTTCTCTATTGTTTCAAAAAGAGATGTTTCAAGTTAGAGTTACATACAAGGTGATGTCTCTCTCCTTTTTGGATCTCAAGAACATTTAATTTGGATTTTCTCATTTGTTATTCCAGGAATAGGAGTTTTTAGTTTGATTATTCCTCTTTCCCTTTTTATTGTAATGTACATTAAAAAAGATTAACATGATAATATTAAAATAAGAAAACATTTTTGCTATTTAATTAATGAATACAATGATAGAAGTTATTTTTGGGAAGTAATAAAGTTAATCAAAAAAACAATTATTATTCTAATATTAACATATTTTGAAACATATATTCTTTTAAAAGCATCATTGTTAGGATTATGCTTACTTTTTTATTAGTTGTTAGCTTTTAACAAGAAACCATATATTCTTTCCAATTTCAATAACATGGATTTATATTCAGCTCAAATTTGCTCTATTTCAATATTCCTTGCTGCTTCTAAATATGTATCAGAATAAGAAAACAATTAATTTTCATCAATAATCCTCTAGATTTTGATTGTTCTTCTTTGTATTAAACTTTGTTATTCATTTATTAAAAGCATATTAGAAGTTTATGTTAATAAGTACTCTAATTTAATATTAAATTATTTGTATATAATATTGGAAAAGATTTCATCAGATTCTATATTTACAAAAAAATTAAAAACCCATTTATAAAAATCAAGTTAAAGAAATAGGAGATTGAAAAGTTTAGTAAAAAAACTTAGATAACATCTATTGAAGATTTCTAAAGGCCAAATTCAATATCAAAAAAAAATGATAAACTCTCAGAGCATTTAAACTCAATTTTCAGGGCCTGATCAAAAATACTTATTAAACATAGATACTGAATGATTAAATGTCATATATATTTTTGATCATTTTATCTTTTTATGATAATAAAGCTATAAATATGTAAATTATTTTAGCTATTATTTTAATGAAATTTCTATTTATGATCTACTTTTTGATAAATTATTAATGAAAGAAACAATATTATTATTCTAAAGAAAAAAATTGCTGATTTCAGATTTCATTAAATCTTTTCGATTTTATTATATGAACATACGTATTTTAATTGATTTCACCTTCATTGAATTCTTTTTTTTCATCTCTTCTTAAACTAAGTCAATAAAAAAATAATTAAGTGGATTACAATCAAAATATGAAGTTTTTTTTTAATGAATAACGTTAGCCTATTGAATAATTATATTTAAAAACATTAGAGATCACAATTACAACAACCCTGTATTTATTCTTATTATTTATTATAAAATGTAAGCTGAAAATAACAACATGATTATTCAAAGTATGTATAGAAATTTATTCATAAAAATCTTTGTTTAAATTTTTAAATAATACAATATATAGTTTAACTATTAAATTAAGATAAAAATTAAATTGTGTTATAGGATTAATAGATATATAAAATTTATATATTTAAAAGGAAAATAATTCAAGGGTTAGTTTTACATCCAGATAATAAAGTATGATATAATTTATTAGTTCAAAGCATATTTTTTATCTATTAAGTTCTACTATACTACTTAGACATATAATTACAAAACAATAAACATATTTTAGGTATGGAAATGTGATATATTAAAGGACATGATAATTAGAATTCGGTAATAACAATTTCTCAAATAGGAGATTACGTTGCATCTGGATAGAAAAATATGTGAGATTCTAAGCTAATAAAATAATTTTGGATTTGAAAGATAGAAGCATGATTCATAGATTGAAATTATGCAAGGTGATAATTCAGTCTCTTAGTTTTTGATTTATTGAATTATATTTGGCATCATTAGGAGGGAAAGATGATATACACATGTTAATTAATTGGAATATTAAGGCAGCGAAGGCTTTATATGGAACTCAAAATAGATATCCTGTAATTAAAGTCTAGTTAATTTTGCACAAGAAATTTGATTTTATTGGTTGTGGAGACTATTGTTGTGAAAATATTGGAGAGAAAGAGTATTGTTGATTATAGCAATACTGTTTTGCTTTTTGAATTCGGCACTCATAAGAAGTAATGTAAAACTCCTCCATCTTTTAATACTAATTAGGAATGTGAAGGGTGGATACCAAAATGTACAGTTAATGTATAATTTGTATCTAAGTCTAAAATTTTTGATTAGTCATTTTGATAAAAAGAGTAGATTTGTGCTTTCTATTCAAGATCAATTCAATCCAATACTTTCAGTACTTAATTTTAAATTGGATGGAGATAGTTAAAGATTTATTGATTAAGAATGTACAGATACAGATCCTAACTTGTAACTAAAAAATAATGGATGAAAACCATTTAAAGTTTTTTTGGTCTTAATGAAAATGATAAATCAATATTAAATCTATAAGATGAAACAAATTGTTTTTGGACAAATGCTTATTGTATAAGCATAAAGATGAATAATTTGATTATAAGAAATAACAACGTTTAGACACTCCTAAATTTTATGCAACACTTGGTTGAATCATAGTATTTTTGAACATACTCTTGGGGAATCCTAAATGCAGAGTAATTTCCTACTTTATAACTGAAGGATGTGAACCAAGAAAGGTTAGTTGTTATGAGTTTATAAAGCCAAAGAATTGTAAGGAGATATCAATGGATAAACCTGCTATTGGGATTATAAACAACAAAGTTGTATGCATGAGTTAGAATATAATAATGGAACAGCTAAATGTCAAAAGAGACTTTATGGTGATTTAACTCACTAGGATTGTTAAAATGCACATTAAATAATATTATTAAAACCTGTTCAAATCTTCCAGATTATTGCGATTATCAATAGAAATGACAATGTGCTCCATAAAGTTCTTGTGCTTTATACAAATGCTAAACTCATTTAGTGCAATGGAATGTTCATTGATACAGTTACTCATACTAAATGTTTTAATATAGATACTTTTGAAGAGATTATTTCTTCTTTTTATGCTTAATTATAATTTATAATGAAAGAATGAATAATTTATTAAGTAAATAAAAAATTTATACCTAAATGGGCTGTCTTATATATTCATAAAGTAATTGTGCACACATGCTAAAGAAGTTGTTAGGACAATATAGTAAACTTTATATAATATAGAATTCAATTGTCACAATTTGAGTAAATAAAATTACAGTTTAAGCTTCATTTTAATAATGAATAATTAGTTTGGGACAGACTACAAAAATTAACAATAATTTTAAGATAAGTATTCGATCATAAAATGATTTAATATAAATATTTTTCTTATATTTTATGATTGAACTTTTACAAGAGAATTAGAAAACTAACAGATAGTTTTGTTATTGCTGATGGAAAAAAATAGTTCATTTCAGGATTTATGTATCATAAAAAAGGTTTAATCTCTATTATTGTAGTAATGGTTTAAACTAGGTGAAAAAGTAGATTTAAATTCTTTCTCTTGAGACTTTAAATTTTCATAATTTGAGATAGCTATTACATTTAAAGATTTTATTAAGCTTTTATAATTTCATTAGTTAATTCTCAAATAAAAATTTCTTCCTTTCTCCAGATAAAATAATTAATTAAAATTCTAAATAATTAGTGATAGTAACAAACTTGTTACAGGCGAAACGATATGGCATTGAACTTAAAACCCAAATATATATTTGAATATCAATATGGATAAATTTAGTTAGCTTATGATCCTTAATAGATACAGACTTTCAACAATATTTTTCTATCAAAATTATTATTTAGAATCCTTGTATATAGTAAAAATCAATATGGATCAAAAAAAAATAATGTTAATAGAAGTAAATAGGGTTATTTTCTACAGATTTCATTATTTACTACTTTAAAATGATTAAAATGTCGAAACAGGCTAGAATAGTCAAACAATTTTTTGGCTTTCGGTTTTCTTTAAATCTCATACTTATCAAACTAGATAGCTGTAAACAGATTAATAATAGAACAATTTGAACTATTCATTGATTTATATTAAGAATATATTTATATTATGTTTTACTTTTTTTGATGCTACTTTAGAAAATCAAATTGTTTGATATATATAAGAAATACTAGAAAAAGAATAAATATGGAAGTGAAATTAAACTTATTTCTTGAAGTCAGGTATAATTTTTAGAGATCTAATGTACACTCTTTCTAGATTTTAAATTATTCTCTCAGAAAGAAAAATAATTTGCATAAAATTAAGAAGCAACTTATAAATTCCCCTCTTTATTTAGACAAGTCCAAAATTTTTTTATGCAATAAAAACAAAAAAATTAAGAGGATATTAGAAGCCCAATTTTCCAAATATATTGATATGAAAAAGTAATTAAAGAAATGGAGTGCCATTAGGGATATTGTAGATAGAAATATCATAAGTAATTACAAGATAAAAATTCATCAACATGAGATTTCAATAAATTTTGTGATTCTTCATTTATCAATAATTATAAACACCAATCACAAGAATTAATAAAATATCTAAGGAATGCATGGAGGAAGACTCTACTATTATCAGAAAAGTATTTGCACAGATAAATCGTTGAGAAAAGATAACTTAGCTTTATAAATGGGATCAACATAGATGCACATTTAATTTATGTGGAAAATTCAGTTCGATTAATAACTCAAATCAGTGACTTGGCCATATATTAATAATTAGTTGTTGATCTATTAAACGAGTTGCAAAATAAATTAACCTGTCTATTTTTAAATTGCTTAATCTAATTGAAGAGATTTAATTAAATATTAATTTGATAAATCAATAAAAAGGAAATTGAGAAATAAAATAAAATAATCAGAAATATTGAATATTTGATATTATTATCCATTATAAAAACTGTTAAATAATATTACAATTAATTATAGTATAAATTGTGCTCCTATTCAAAGAAAAAACAATGCCATCTCAATCAGGGATGGGAAACATGTGCTTGGATTGAAACATCCTTTTTTAAGCGCAAATAAATCTTGTGAAATTGATCCTGGTAAATCAGATTTAATGGTGACGTTAAATTAGATCCTATAACTGAAAAGAGACTACGTCACTAAGACTAAGAGAAATTTTTTTAAACAATAATTTATAATTATCGCATTTTAATTTTATAAAATATTCTAAAAGAAATTGTGATAGAATTAGGTTTAATTTATAATTTTTCTCAACTAAATAAAATTTAGAATTAAATTATTTAATAGCATGTCCAGTTAAGAGGGTATAAATAACTTTGTAATGACAAATACATCTGTTGGAATTATTAGTGTTACTATTGCTACAACGTTTCTAATACTTGTTTATTTCAAATAACCTAAGAGTAGGCATAATGAACAAAGAAGGAGCCCCTAATGATTCATTAGCATTTATTTCATAATCACAATTTATAAATATTGTTTCTAAAAAAATTTAAGTAAACGAGCAATTAATAATCATATATTCTTTTTAAAGTTTGTTTGTTTATTTGTGTGAAGTTTTATAAGAAATACAGGTTTGATTTAATTTTAAATTGGGATAAATCAAAAAATCTTCTTGAATTCACATACTATTTGGTTTCTTTTATAAAAGAAAGGTTAGAGAATATTTAATAAGCATCAGAGAAATCTTGTATAATGGAACACAAATTAATATTAGGGTTTTGAGTAATTAATATGTTAACCAATGATATTAATTTAAAAAAGAATGTCAATTAGATTATTATATTAATTGCCAAATAGTAATATGAGGATATTTTAACTAACTTCCTTGTAAATATAAACTTTTCTGATAATCAACTACATAGTAGAGAATAATTAAGCCATTTTGGAAGGATTTATTTAGTATACAAACATTGATGTAAGAAGTATGAATAACTAAAAAATTATGAAAATATTTTAATCAAGTAAAGCAAAAAGTACTTATACCAAAGTATTGTATCCAATTAATTAAATTTCAGTTATAAATCAAATTTATTTATTGATCACATTCAACCTAGAGGACCAATAGTATTGAAAAACTTAACAATTTCAAACAAAAATGTAGAAAAATGATAAAAAACTAACTATCAATTAAATTACTTTTTTTTGATAAAATCTATTTTATCAAAAATTTTACAATTTGCTAAAACGATAGAAACAATTAATTTAGTAATGGAAAAGCTATTAAAGCCTCCAACGCTAAGATAATTGTGATGGCACAAAATAATGATTGATTTATAATCTAATATGTTCAATTAATTATTAATCATGTAAGAATTAATTGATGTGCCAAGTGACTATAAAAAAATAAAAATAGACAATTAAAGATAGTAATTTAATAATCAAAATAAATTCTAGTGAAAATTCTTAGGGCATTTATTAACTCCAATTTTTAATCATTATTTATGTTTCTATCGATTCTAGTTATTTAATTTTAGAGGAAAGGAAAGATTTTTAATTAAGAGAAAGAATTAATAATAATAGAATAGGGTATTATTTTTAACAAAATCTATTTGTTTATTGGAATCAGTTATCAATAATTATCTTAAATAGAATCTAACATTGTTTTGGTAATTATTTCTTATAATAACTTTGGATTGAATCATATCCTTTAGGTATAACAACAGTTAGTGACACCTTTTTCAAAAGAAAAAATACATGTTTCTTTAAAATCTAACTTTTATTTAATCTAAAAGACTATGTAAGGGTTTGCTGGATATAATTTATTTGAGGCTATAATTACTAATGATTATCAATTCTGAATAAAGAAAAGTTATCTCAGGTAATCCATCTCAATATATAAATTTTGTTTAGTTACAAAATTAGCCCTCACTATATATTATAGAAGAGTAATAAAAATCTCTTACTATTATATTTAAAAAGTTAACTGAAAATCAACTAAAAGAAAATATTTCATTTTACTTTATTATTGTTTTAATTTGTTACTTATCATCCTAGAGAGTATTTAATAAGATCTGATAATTTTCTATTAATGTTATAGACTATGAGTAAAAGGCTCATCATTTCCATTAGATTATCCTAAATCGTTGGGAAGGAAAATTAAAATATTGTTTAAGATTAAGGTATTTACTACAGTCAAATTAATATAAGGTTTTAGCTTCTTTAAAAGATGAAAATAAAAACTATCTTTATTGAATCCCACAGGGAAATTAAATACAAATGCCTCTAAGTTTTTAAGTATGTTTGTGATATTTTATTAGTCAGTAAGATATTAAAGTAAGCTTTTTTGACTTTATAATAATTTGAATGACTTATTAAATGTTAATTATTGTTATAAAAAGATGGATAATATAAATAATGAAAATAGTTTAATTCTATTTGGACAGAAAATTGTTTATAGACTAATCTTCATTAAAGTTGATTTTCACTTTTAAATTACATGTGGCACTCAAAAGGTTTCTCAACTTTGACTTGAATAAAACATTAGGAAATTTAAATCATTTGGTCTTTTTGGATTCTAAAAACCTATTAATACAATGAAGCTAAATTACAATCTTTTTTCTTAATAATTGTCTTTTACTATTTTTCTTAAAAAAATTTTCCTAAATCATACACAAAGACCTAATCTAATTCTTTATTAGGCAAATTTTTAAATATTACTTATAGTTTGTAGTCATAAAATTTTATTATAAAGGTAATTACATAAATAATGATCTCTAAAGTAAATTAAATTTAATATATTAAACTTGAAATGAAAAAAAGAGAGTAGATAGCCAAACCCAGTTTGAATTATAAATAATTTAGATTTTTGGATTTCTTAAAAGCTTGATTACATCTCTTCATATTTGATTAATTTAGATTGTATTTTTTTATAATTTGATACTCTTTTTGTATATGTTAATAGGCTGGTTACAAAAAAAAAATCTGTACAATTTTACTTTAAATATCAAATAGAAATTTATTTAAGGAATAGATAACCAAAAGTATAATCCAAAATATATTTGAAGAAACTTGTTACTATATTATGTAATAAGTCAGTTATTTTTGATTCAATTAATAATTGATATCATTATTATATTATTATTACGTTTGATATTATGATACATCATAATTTGATTAAATTCTTTATAGATTTAATTCATTGGTTTATATTATCATTTGGTGCTAAAAGAATTTGAAATATAATTCTTTTTTTTCACATTTGGTTATGTAAATTAGTATATAAATATTAATATAAAATTATCGTTCGTTTTATAAATTTTTTGATTACATAATTTGAATATGGACTTTTAATGTGTGCCAAGCTGATTTGATGACATAATATGACATCATTTATTATTTAAACCGATATCAAAGAGATAATATTATCTAATTAAATAATAATATAAATTGTTAACAAAATTGATGCTAATTGCAATTATAATAAAGAAGGCTTATTGTTAAAGCTAGCACAATTAATATTCATAAAATTCATTTCTAGAAGATCCATTTATGAGCTAGTAAGATCCTTATAAAGTCAACTATTAGTAAGATTAACGTAATGATAAATATGTCCATTTTACCTTTCATTAATATACAAATTTATTGGATTGATAATTCTAGTTGATCTAGGGATGATTGCAAATAGAAATGTTATACAGTTAAAAAAACGACTATGATATTCATGCTATCACAATGAGTATTGTGGTTTTACCTTCAATCAAAGCAGAGTTATTAATGATATTTTCAAGAAATATTCCTCCTCTTAAAGGGAACCAAAGGCTATAAAGATTTCTTAATATTATTGGATATACATTTTTGAGCTTGATGATTTTTCAAATTTTAGGAAGGATTATAATTAAGTTTTGTATTCAATCAGTGAATGAACAAATCTAAAAATTACATCCCTATCAATATTTATTTGGGATAAAAAATTTATCTTCTTGGAAAAATCTAAGTAGGATTTGGATATTATATGACTTATCTTAGAAAGAAATTGGGAAAGGTGATATTAATACTTTTTGGTGTGTAAATAATGGTAATTTTTATCTCCATATTAAGAATTTGCCTTAAAAAATCTTTCTCACTTCTCAATATTTATTATAATGAAGACTATATTAATCGTTTATGGTGAAAATTGTTATTCATTATTGTTTTATTCAGTAAATTTCTCTAATAAGAAATAGATTTTATTCATTTCATGATATTATGGAAAAAGAAAATTTTTAAATATACTCTTGGAAATTTCATCATTTTCTAATTGATGATAAGACATGGGTAAGTTATATCATGAGTAAAGAGCATACATTTAACTTGGGTAGATCTTCTCCAATCGGAATAATTTAATATAAATAGTTTGCCCTACCATTTCACTAAATATGATAAAAAGTTTTTATTACAAATAAAAAGGAATGGCATCCAAAATTAGAATTATTATTTTAAAACTATCTTTTATTTGGTTCAAAGGAAATATAATTGAAATAAAAATATTTTATCTAATCTAGCCCATCTACCCATTTACTGTTAACTTGAACATAAAAATTAAAGGCTGTTTTATATGAAAAGTTTTATTAATTATAGAGTTGTGAACAAAACTATAGAATGAAGAGAATGAAGGGTTTATTTTTGGAAATTTAAATTCTATATTCCCCTTAGCAATGATGTGATCTCAGATTTCTCAGAACTGAATATTAAATAATGGATAAACTCGTCTCCTGCTACTTAAGTAAGACTAATTAATTAGAGATATCTTGCTATTTAGGAATCGAAATATTATTTTATTATTTTAGATTAGTATTACATTCAGATGTATATACATCTTTTTTTTAAAAAAGAAATAGTTTATGATCCATTCCAAAAATATTTTAAATTCTTTATAATTAAACTTTGGCAAATTTCATGGGATTTTTGGAAGATATTTTATTTAAAATTCAATAAGACAACCCTATATTATAATTAATAATTAAGTTTAGCATACTTTCAATAATTATATTTTAGATTAGGTGAGCATTATAGGTCTTTGACTATTTTTCTTATTTTCAAAGCGTAAATAAAAAATGGAGATAATAATAAAGAGTTTAAATAGTTTTATAAATAAAATCTCCAATTAGTAGTTAAAAATTTTTCAAAAACAAATTTATTATTGTGAATTAATTAAGAAGCATCTAGATAAAATTTCAAATAAAAAACAAAGCATAGAAAATATTGAATTTCATAATTCATTAATTATTACAATAAATTCATATAAGAAATTAATTATTCTTGATTTTAATCATATTGTTGATTTTCTAATTTAATGTTTTGTTATAAATTAAAATCCACATCTTATTCATATACTGATTTAATACTCATAATAAGAATATGAATATTTTTATCAGCTTTTGATAAACAAATTTGAGGTAATAAAAAAAAAGGATAAAAATCATAACAGGATCAATACATACTCTATTTAGTTTATCTTAGGTCTTAGTTGAAGAAAATAAAGACGACTGGATATGAATTATATATTATTTTCTCACGTCTTACCACGAATAAAAAGATACTAAGGCCAGGGTAAAATTAAATTTCAATTTTTTCCACGCTCTCAGTAAAAGGAGTTCAGGTGATAAGTGTGAAGTGGGAATCTCCCATAACTAACTGAATAAGTGAGACTTATTAAATCGGTAATAAAAACAAAGGTTAAGAAGAATAAAAGAAAATTTTAAATTTAATAGGAATCTTGGAACAAAAAATGGATGTGTAAAAGTTGTTAAGCATTAATAGACTTTATGAATTCAAAATTGACTCTCTGCTCATAACTTCAACGAATTGTAGCTGTAAACTATTAAGTCTATAGAGGTTAACAAACTGAACCTTAAGAATAATACATCCAAGAAAAAGGCTAGTGTTATTAAAAAGATAATATCTAAAATGAGGGTATAAAATAAATAAGAAAATATCTTACTTAAATAAAATTAATAGAAAATAATTATTGAATATGCTCCTACACTTAGATAAGTTAATTATAAAAAAATTGGAACTTAGTCCTAGCAGATGATATTGTAATTTCTGATTTATATTAAACAAAATTGAATTTTCTTATTTAAATTTTAATAAATATTAATATACTTACTATGTTATACTCTCTAAATATATTTAGAGAATGGAGCACAAGGAATTTACTTAAATAAGGAAAGCATTTTAAATAATAATAACTTTATTTCGAAGATTAAATTCATTCTGGGAATATAATATTGATTTTACATCAGGAATTGTGAAAAGAATTATAATTACAATATTTTGAAAATACTATTTTATATACAGAGGCTGTTTACTTAATTTAAAAGATCGAAATAAATAGGTAATTTAAAATCAAGAAAGACAGGAATATTTATGATATTAAAAATATCAACTCTATATTAGATTCCGTTATATAAAACAATTTGCTTTGCAAATTAGAATTGGTATGTAAAACATTTAAAGTAAAACTATAAAACTTTTGCTAATTATCTTGCCAGAGAATAATAACTATAAGATTGAAGTTAGCATGAATTAGATTAAATATAATAATTTTTATAAATAATATATAACCTAATTCACTTTATTTTTTTATTATTGGGTCTGATATTGATATCAAAATCAACATATTTACTGATAGAAAAAAAAAATTCTTTTTATGAATTTATTCAACAGAATATATTCTAATTAATAAGATGCATCTAATATTTAACTAAATTATAAATAATATTGATTTAAAGAAAAATACCCATTAATACATTATCATAATTATTCTAATTGAAAAAACAAATTCAACTTTAAATAAATTAAGTTTTATTATTTTTGATTTCTGCACTTCAAATCTTAATATTAAAATTGATGTAATAAATAGTATCAAATTAAATCAATAGAGCTTTAATGAAAAATCAATTTACTGAAAAAGAAAATTCATCTCCAAAGCAATAAAATTAGTTAACCAAATAATACAAAACTATCCGTTGCATCCATTTAGTCAACCCCTATCTTTATAGGCTCCTTCCACTAACATAAAATATCAGAATAATAATAAGATGAATTTTAATTATTTAATTAGTGTTTTTAAACTTGAAAAAGGTTAATTGACTAAAAATTATAATTTTATATAATATATAAAAAAATTTTAATTTGTCTTATAAATTAAGCTTTTATAAATTAAAAGTCGGTTATGTATATTTTAGAATTGTAATTATGTATTCATCTTTTTCTACTGATATCCATTTTAGCCCATTTACCAACTTTCTTATTATTTTTATATTCACCATTACAAACTATCTAATAATCCTTATTAAACTCATCACATAATTCAACCCAATCCCCTATCTTCATTCCTTCTTCATATTATCCTCCAGCACTAATATTATATTTTTAAATTAACTCTTACATTTGTTTGAAAGAATTATTTATGCTAAATCGAAATATAATATCCCATCTACCAATTTTTTTACCATTTTTATAGATACCATTATAAATAACTTAAAAATCCACATAAAAATCATCACTTGGTTCAATCCAGCTGCCAATTTTCATTGAAAATTATTCATCATATTATCCACCACCTCTATATGTCGTATAAAATTATTAATTACATTTTTATTCCTTCATACTCAATATCCCACGCTCCAACTTTTCTTCCGTTCATATATTCACCTTTATAAACTAATTAAGACCACTTATAAAACCCATCACTCAACTCTATCCACCTTCCAATTTTAATTGAATATTCTTTATCATATAGTCCGCCACCACTTAATATCTTTTAATATATTTACATTTATTGAAAGCTTGAATCCTCATATTGCTTATACATAATATTCCATTTACCAACTTTTTATCCATATTTATACTCGCCAGTTTGGGTTACTTACGAAAGAAAGTGGAAACCATCACTCAACTCAGTCCATTTTCCAACTTTAATTGAACTATCTTCATCATATAATCCACCTCCACTAAAAACATTTTATTTGGTGAAAATTTACATCTATAAATTCCTTCCATTCCTAAAATCCCTAAACCAAGTCGTCCATTTACCAACTTTTTTACCATCTTTATATTATCCAATAAACGTGACTTATGAATACAGATTGAACGATTAACTCAACTCAATCCATTTTCCAATTTTAAGTGAAGATACTTAATCATATGATCCTCCACCACTAAACTGATATTTAATATATTACATTTTGAAAAATCCATCTTCCTCTCTAAATAGAATATCCCACCTTCCAACTTTTTACCCGTTGTTATATTGGCCATTATAAATAACTTAAGAATTACTTTCAAACCTATCACTTAATTCAATCCATTTTCCATTCTTCTATGAGCTTCCTAAATTATATGACCCACCTCCACTACAAATATTATTTTCGAAAATTTACATCAATTCATGTTTTTACAAAATATTCCATTTACCAATTTTCATACCATTTTTATACTCGCCAATAAAAGTTACTTATGAATCTTTTTTAAACATATCGCTCACTTCAATCCATTACCCAATCTTGATTGAATCTATATCATCATATAAACCGCCTCCGCTTAAACTTTATTTTTATATTTACATGACTTATTATTGTTTATCTTACAACCACCAAACATCCCATCTTCCAAGTTTTTTACCATCCTTATATACTCCAATATAGGTGACTTGTGAAGTATCCATAAATCCATTACTCAATTCGCACCACTTTCCAGTCTTCACTTATTCTCCTTTAGACTCAAAATATAATCCGCCTCCACTACATTTTATTTTTAATATAATTATACATCTATTTACCCTGATATACAGTTTCCCAAATACCAATTTTTTTTCCATTTTTGAATTCACCATTATAAATTACTTGCGAATTCTCCTTAAAATAATCATCCAACTCAATCCATTTTCCTACTTTCACGCCTTAAAGATTGTATTATCCACCACCACTTTATCATTAATGAAGATAGTACATCATATTATTATTACAAGTGTATTTCCAAATCCCTCTTTATTGATCATTTACATACTGTCCTTTTTAATATAATTGAGATTTACTATAATTAGATTTATAGGATTAAAAATTACCACGAATAATATTTAATACTTTCCTACCAAAAACCTAATTTTACTCCATCCTCAAAGTACCCACCAACTTCTATTAGGGCTTCTCCATTCCAATTAGCCATCCACTTAACCAATTTTTTTTTATCATCTTCTACAATTTACCATTAGAGATACTTGATCATTCCCATGTTTGTCAAAAAAAAGGGATTCTTGGGCTAAAACTTAAATGAATCTCTTTTATAACTTATAAGTGATAATTTACTTTCTCAATATTACTCCGTCGTATTAGTAGATGATTGATTTATCTTTGTTAATTGTGATTTGAATTTCAGTCTTCACAAGTTACTTTAAAATTTAATCCCACATTTCAACTTCAACTTTTTAAGTTCCTTACTTCCAAATTTTAGACCAAACAGAAATCTATTAATATTCATTTGAATTAGACATCTTTAAATAATTTAATTATTTTTGGTGTTGCTTTTACAAAGAATATATTGTAAATAAGAAAAATAATCTTGAAAATTAATCCTTTTAATTCTATTAAATTTGGCTTGGATCATTTGTATTATTGTTTATTCATGCAACTATAAGAATTTAAGGAATATATTATGATTTTTTTTGAATAATTTTTTAGGTTTCAAAATAAATTAATAGTTATTATTAAAATCTTATATATTCTTCTTTATTTGCAATTAAATTTATAGAAAAAATTTATTTCATTATTCCCTATATGATTAGGATATATAATAATTCATAGGGCTTGATCAAATTTAAAATTTGGAGCTTTTTATTTTTATAGAAAACAAAAAGAAAAAATACAAATGTGACTGGCAAATAATTATTATTATTAATTATAATATATTTACAGAATTCTATTACGATAATTCCTTAAAAATAAAATTGATATCAAAATCAAATCTGATTCCATATACAAATGTGTAGTATTAGGAATTTAATCTTTAACATCTTTTTCTAATAGATGTTAAAATCTAATTTCTAAAGATTCTACAACCAATTACAATAATTTTGATTAATTTCTTTAGTTCCTTATTAAATTTTGACAAATCTCAAATTAATTATCTGAAAGTATTGAAATGAGAAATTAAAACAAATTTATAAAATCTCTGGTTCTAAGTTGATTTAATTTATTATGTTGATATAAATCATATTGTTATTTTTTCCAAACTGAACTTAGAAAAGACAGCAACTCTTATAATAATTCTTGAATGATTAGATAATCTCTTTATACTTTTATAGGATTAGGAAATGAAACATCAGATATCTTTAATATATAACAGGGAGTTTGGTAATAAACCAATTTTTAGATTAATAGAGGGACTCTTATTTTTAAAAAATCTAAATATCAAAATCAAAAAATTAGCAAATGCACTTATGATATAATTTGATTTGATAATTTGAGTGAGTTACAATTATTATCTTTCACAATTTAATTCAATGTTATATTATTTACTCAAAAGATTTCTTAAACTAATCTTATATCAATTACAGATGTGATTAATTTTTCTAGGTGGATAATTTTTTATCGATTAATATGAGATAGAAACTATAATTTAAAAGGAGATATTTTGTTACAAAAACGATAACACAGATGAAAATTGAAATATGTTGTAGAATTTTCTTAATTTAACAATCTTCTAATTAGCTGGCTTAATATAATTTATAAATTACAATTTGACATCTATTTTTTAATAATAAGATGTGGCTGAAATTATAGATTCTGTTATTTTGCTTCAATATCAAGAGAACAACAATATATTCAAATAAGGCTAATTCTTTATATTTAGATGATACACTTAGCTTTTTCTTTTTAAAAGATAGATTATTCTCAATTACACCTTTTTATTTTCTAATGTTCAGTTCCTGAAATTATTTTTAAATATTTCGATTGCTTAATTATTTCTCTTACTAATAAAATTGAATTATGAAGGATAAAATTACTTAATAACATACATAATTTTATCTTCTGCTCTAATTCTTCCTCTAAAATTTGATAATATTGATATAATATTAATCATTTGAATTTAAAATTTATTTATAATTAAATATTGTGGATTTATTAGTGTCAGGTACGCATCATTGATTGCGGATTATTTTTATTGAATTGAAATAAAATGTTCAGAAAATGAATAGTTCTAGAACAATGAATTCCGTTTATCCGATCCATAGCACAGAAGATTAAGCATACCTAGAGATAAGTATACGTTTAGGTTTCACGTAAATTAAGTGCGGCCATAAGTAAACCATTAGAGATTTTAAGAATACCAAAGACAATTACTGATCACCTTAACTGTGCATTATTGCTGGACATACTCTATCTCTCCCAGCTTTATCATTCTTATTTATATAGATCAATTATTAAGAAGTAAGAATAATTCAAATCCCCAAGCAATATTCTAGTTTACAAAAATAATGAATTTTATTTTTGCTATAAACAAGAAAAATCACTTGTTGATTTACTTTAAGAATTGTTAATTTTATTTTCTTGATATTTATTTGAAGCTTCTTATTGAATAAAAAGTATCAAAGTATTGTACTTATCAATTATTTCCAAGAATTATTTATTAAAAGCTCCTATTATATAGTCATTCCAAAAGATGCTGTAGAGTTTGTTTTACAGCTAAATAAGAAGCGAAATCTATATAAAAGCCCTATTTGAATATCCCTTAGACAACAGAGCTAATTTGATTAATTATTGAATGAGAGAAAGTTAATAACATTAATTTCTATTTATGTTCATAAATAATTTTAGAAGTCAGTACATCAAAAGATAACAATAAATTTAAGGATAATTTATAAACAGCCATTATTAAAGAAATTCTGATTTTAATTTAATTAAGAATTGGTAAAAGTTTTCTATTAATAATTTTCTAGATTCAATTCGGTTTCTATTCCTATATATTATTTATGCTGCTAGAAAACTGGTTTTTAATAAAATTCTCTATTTTTTTTCATTTCATTCCCGAAAATTCTTTTCATTTTCCAGACCCTTAAGTGATTAATCAGAAATTTGGAAAATTAATGTATTAAAACAAAATAAAATTTGTTAATTATTTTAGATTAAATATAAATGAAAGTGTTTTAACATTTCAAGAAGAATTCCTTTTAATATTTTGACATTTCAACAATAATAACTTTATTCAACTTTAATTATGATTATTTTAGGGCCATATTTTGGAAGGGAACATGGTCAATTATTATTGAAGTTAATGAAAATTACGTTTAATAATTCTAATTTTTTATGAATTATTGCATAATTATGTACATGATGTGATTATTTCATAGAGAATAGATTTATTCTTAGATACTTAAAGAAAAAAATGCATTTTATAATAATTTAATTATTAAATGACAAATTTTAAAGAAAATATGTTTGGAAATTTAATTTTAGTTTTGGAATCATTGTAATAACTATTAACATCCATCAAAAAATTGTTAATTATTGGGTTTGTATAGATTGAAATATTTTATTAATTAAATATTTTGGTTAAACTCTTTTATTTCACCTTTAAGGTAAGATTGATAACAAGATTATTTTTTTTCTCTTATCGATAAACTACACAATTAATAAAGTTTGATGTCCCCTTCAGACTATGATTTATTGACTAGATTACTTTTTATAATAAATAGCCAAAGTTTAACAATATCTGATAGTTTTATTATTCCAATCTTTAAATTATTAACTGAAATCCTTAATCATTCTCAAAAAAGAGATGATGTAAAAGGAGTATGAATGAATGAATCAATATTAGAACTCAAATTATATATCAATATATATTTTTAAAAAAATTCAGATATTCTATATTATTCAAGAAAGATATCCAAATTTAAAAATGATTTCTCTGTAGGATATTCTACACCTTTTATTTTTAATACCAATTATGCACAATATCTGAACTTCATATTTACAAAAATGCAAAAGATACTTTTATCCATTTTTGCATTATATAACTTCAAGTTAGAGTAATAGAAATTTATTATTAAAAATAAAAAAAAATGCAGGGTTCTTTTTAAGAGAAGGAAGCTTTAGCTGACATCTTTGATTAACTAAAAGATGTAGATATACAAATCTTTGGGGTCATAATAGAAATATTTAAAAAGGAGAAAGTTTAAGATTGCCTTGGATATCTTTCAGATATTGGGAATCAGAAACAAATAGAATCATAAATTTTACAACAAGTCGGGAATTTAACCCAAGCTGACACAGAATAGAAATTGTCTGTAATTAGAAATGACATGAAATAAATTACAGATGTCTTAAGAAAATTAAAAGATCATGACTTCAATAAGAAAGATTTCTCTTCTGAAGAAAATGAAGAATCTACATTAAGACTAATTAACAGCATCAAGTGTAAGAGTTAGAGCATAGAATTTTTAGTTCACCTTACATCTATCGATAAAACTCTAATATAATGTGGGTCTAATTCATTACATTTATTAGTTTAGATGAAGGCGGACCTTAGACATCAAAATTTCGAAAATATTAAGATAGAAAATACTTCATTAGTAGGCGCAAATTTGGTTCAATGCAATTTAAGTGGATCAGAATTTAATAATGTAAATATAAGCAGTATGAATCTGAATGGAACATTTCTGTTGAATTGTAAATGGAAGAATATTAAGATCCATGAATTGAACAAATTAGATGATGGTCATAATGATAGCGTGAATTCAGTCTGCTTCTCTCCTGATGGTACAACATTAGCAACTTGTAGCGGAAATCCTATGTATAAAAGCATTGATAACTCCATCTGTCTATGGGATGTTAAAAAAGGCGTATTAAAAGCCAAATTGGAAGGTCATAGTCGAACTGTCTTGTCAGTCTGTTTCTCACCTGATGGAGATACAATAGCTTCTAGTAGTTATGATTAGTCTACTCGTCTATGGGATGTTAAAACAGGAAAATTGAAAGCCATTTTAGATGTTAATAGTAAATGGTAATGTAAGTATGTTTCTCACCTGATGGAAATATGTTAGCCACTGGTAATTATGATAATTCTATCCGTCTTTTGGATGTCAAAACTGGATATTAAATAGCCAAATTAGATGGTCATAATGGATCAGTCTAATCTGTATGCTTTTCTCCTGATGGAAATACTTTAGCATCTGGCAGTTAAGATAAATCTATCTGTCTTTGGGATGTGAAAACAAAATAGAAATTTGCAAAATTGGATGGCCATAGAAATTGTATCAACTCAGTCTGTTTCTCACCTGATGGAAATACATTAGCTTCTGGTTGTGGTGACAGGTCTATCCGTCTCTGGGATGTAAAAACAGGATAATTTAAAACTTAATTGGATGGTCATACTAATACTGTCTACTCAATCTGTTTCTCTCCTGATGGAAATACATTAGCCTCTGGTAGTGAAGATGTCTCTATCCGTCTTTGGGATTTAAAAACAGGATAATAAAAATGCAAATTGGATGGTCATAATGGTACTGTTTACTCAGTCTGTTTCTCTCATGATGGAAATACATTAGCCTCTGGTAGTTATGATAAGTCTATTCGTCTATGGGATGCCAAAACAGGATAATAAAAAGCCAAATAGAATGGTCCCTCTAGTTATGTTATGTCAGTCTGTTACTCTTCCGATGGAAATACATTAGCTTCTGGTTATGATGATAGCTCTATCTGTCTATGGGATGTTAAAACAGGATAATAAAAAGCCAAATTAGATGGTCATAGTGATTATGTAAACTCAGTCTGTTTCTCTCCTGACGGAAATACATTAGCGTCTGGTAGTGGTGACATGTCTATACGTCTTTGGGATGTCAAAACAGGATAATTTAAAACCTAATTGGATGGTCTTAGTGATACAGTTAGATCAGTATGTTTCTCTCCTGATGGAAGTACATTAGCTTCTGGTAGTATAGATAAGTCTATCCGTCTATGGGATGTCAAAACAGGATAATAAAAAGCCAGATTAGACGGTCATACTCATTATGTCTACTCAATCTGTTTCTCTCATGATGGAAATACATTAGCTTCTGGAAGTTATGATAAGTCTATTCGTCTATGGGATGCCAAAACAGGATAATAAAAAGCCAAATTGGATGGTCATAATGATTACGTCAACTCAGTCTGTTTCTCTCCTGACGGAAATACATTAGCGTCTGGTAGTGGTGACATGTCTATACGTCTTTGGGATGTCAAGACAGGATAATTTAAAACCTAATTGGATGGTCATAGTGATACTGTCTACTCAGTCTGTTTCTCTCCTGATGGAAATACATTAGCTTCTGGTAGTTAAGATATGTCGATTCATCTTTGGGATGTAAAAAAAGAATAATAAAAAGCCAAATTGAATGGTCATACTCATGGAATCTTGTCAGTTTGTTACTCTCCTGATGGAAATACATTAGCATCAGGTAGTTATGATAAGTCTATTCGATTATGGGATGTTTAGAATAGAAAATAATTTTTACTAAATAACAATACATTTAAGGAAATTCTTACCTAAATTCATGCATCCTTATTTTAAGACAATGTTCCCTCATGTACTTATTTAATTATTATTTTTATAGTACCCAATAATATTACAATTCTACGAATATCTGAGACACCATTATTTCAAGCATAACAAGCGTTAATTTTTAAAGGAGATTTTGTGAATTATTAAGGATACGATTTAAGATCATTATTCAAACTCTCAGGAAGTTGCATTTTAGGAGACTTTGAGTAAAACGAAATTTGATTATTATAAAAAGTTCCAATTATAAAAACATCGATTACTAATATTTTTTAATTATGCCTTTATCAGTTCAGCTCTTCGTCTTCACTTCTTAATATAGATAAGTAAATAAATGCACGTTTATGAAAAGAATAATACAAGAAAACAGCATACCAAATAGTAAGCAAGTGAATGATATTAGAACATTAAAAGGTGAGTTAAACATTGAATTTCCTATACAAGATGGAGATTCTTAATTATTAGAATCTCAATATGTCATATTTTATTCTTCCTTCGTTCATGATTCAAAAGAAAATTAAAAAAAGAAAATAAAATAAAGTGAAATTTGGAAAATAAATAACAAAAATTTTAAGATTTTATAGACAGTTTTGAAAAATACACTATGCAAATTAGAGAAAAAAATCTTTCTTTGAATTTACAGTCCTTATCAAATTTTTAAAGATTTTGAACTCTATTGGAAATACATCTTTATGAGTTTTAACAATCTTAAATGATTGTTAATTTACCTAAAATTTATGTATCAGGTAATTTGAACAAGGTACTCTTAGGATCTTCTAATATTTGTCAAACAGATAAAAAAACAAGAATATCGAAAATGAAAGAAAAGAAAAAACATTGAGTTTATTTCTCAATAATTTTTATTAAAACCTGCTGAAGTAAAAGTGATCGACAGTTAAAGGAATCATAATAATCCTGTTTTTATAAATATGCTTAACTTTATTGATTATCAAAATGCACTATTTCATAGTTTAAATTTATCAGTATTATTCTTTGTGATTTGAATATATAATGAATTCTTTATTTTTATCATCATGCAATTTATATTTTCTGGCTTCTAAATTTGCTTTTCTAAGCCTATTGCATTTAGATATTTTGAAAGTTCTTTTTTATTTCTTGTTTTTCAAGAAATAAGCGCATAAAAGATATTGTTTATGCATTTCTGCATAAGTAGATCATAAAATATGTGAAATTATGGATAGTTTTTAATTTAAATATACATGTAAAGTAGCTTTTAAAGATTTTTGAGTGTATGTTTTTATGAACGCTTTTCTTTATTTATAAACAATAGTAGTTAATTTAGAAAAATTTCGAATAGAATTATAATTCATTTACTTATTCAAGATGATGATATTTTAATTTGATTACAGATTTCATTTATATTAAGTAAAAAAATTAGTTTTCATCATTTGCCTCTCAGGATTGATTAAATTATCATGAATCAAAATTTAATATTATCAAATCGCGATTAAGGTAAGAAATGAAAAATCAAATAGTAAATGAAGGGATAAGTTAAAAAAAACATGTTTTTTTTTTTCAACATTTATTTTTTTTTTTAGAAAATAAATATTTCTATATGAATTAAAAAACACTTAAAGAACCTTATTTGATCATTTTCATTATAGTGATTTTAAAATTTAAATAGTAAAAGTTGATAGGATTTCTATCATGAAGATGGTAAATTAATTGAAAATCTGCATTATTTGAACTGAAATTTAAGCATTTATCTCACTTAAAATTTTATTTGAGTGTATTTTAAGATAAGCAAAATTAATTTGCTTATACTTCAAGATTTGTTAAAAAGAGATCAAAAAAAACAAAACAACTCAAAAAAGAAAAATTGAATTTAATAATTTCTAAGCATATTAGACACAATAATTATATTATCACGATAAATTAATTTTTTTTTTTTTTGAATTTATTAGTCTCTTTGATTTGTGTAATAATAACTTAAATTTTAAATCATCTTCTGGCTTTCCTTTAAACTAAATTTTTCGATTTTTTTAACAGTGTCTTTCCAAATTAAACTTGTTTGTGCTCTATTTTTGATACCCTTGTACTTTCAATATTTCAGGATATAAAGTTTTAAGATTGTAAAATTTTGCAGATGACTTTTCAAACTTATAATTATTTCTCTATTACAACAAATTACTAATTTCTAAGCTGATCTTACATTAAAGAAAAACTCTAATCCAATTTTTTTTAATATTTGTATTAAGAATAACAATTATAATTTTGTTTTATTGATACCAATGGGATGCATAGTATATTAACAAGACTCAATGGAAATCAGGATACCTAATTAATCATTATATGACGAGCCGTATAAGAATAATCATTTTACAAAATCAAAATTGACTTGTAATCAACCTGAATACACTGATGAAACTTTCTAAAGAATTAATATAAATTTATCAAAAGATCAACGTAGATTTGAGCCTTAAAAAAACTATTAATGGAAGCGAATAAGTCAATCAAATACAAATCAAAATTTATGCAGTGTATTTAATTGTATTAAACGTAGGAGTTTAAATATGAGTAAATAAAAAAAGGAGAACTGAATAATGATTAGTTTTTAAACGCTTTAAGAATCTTGTCATCATAAGATATCATTCTAAAAAAAATATTTCTTACAAAATAGATTTAAATTAATTGTTAATATAAGTTAGTTTTAAATTAATAAGGTTTATGGTAAGAAATTATAATTGATGATTATCTTCCTTTTAATATGAGTGGTAAACCCCTCTTCTCATATTATGATGGAGATGATTTTTGGGTTTAATTGATTGAAAAAGCATTTTCAAAGATTTATGGTTGTTATGAGAAACTTGAATAGATTGAGATGGTAAATGAACTACTCAGAGATATAACAGGAGCGCCATATTTAGAGTTGGATGAGTAATAGTTCAAAGATAAATTAGAAAATGTTGTAGATTTATAGAATATATTCTATTTGATGAATGAAAATAAGAAATATTATTAATGAAAAGAAATGAAAGAGAAAATTATTTTTTGGATTTATAACAGAATCTTAAACTTAATATAAATGAATTTAAGAAGTATAAAATATTTTTCATTCCCTTTAATGCAAAATACATCTAAATTACTTAATAAATATCGATTCCCATTAAAAATCAGTAAGTAAAGCAAGTAATGTAATTGACTATATAACAGTAATGTCACACCTTCATAACTATATCATAAAAAGATTTAAAGGTAATTAATCAAAATTATTATGCTCAACTTCATATGATAATCGTTGAGTATGATATCAAGAAAGAACATTTTAAACATATTTATAGTAAGTATTAGCAAGTGAGAGATTTAACGATTGAATGCGAATTAGATATTGGATCATATTTAATATATATTGAAGCCTTTTGGTAATAATAAACAGACTACACATTAAATATTTAATCTTATGGTAATAGACAAGTATATTTTCAATAATTGAGTTGGATGACTGAATAGGAAAAAGCAGACTTGTTATAAAAAATAATATATTGCCATTCAAAAAGGCAAAAAAAAAAAATTTATGGTAACGATTAATTATAAAGTGTGCAATCATAAATTGGTAGGTATAAATATATTCTATTTGAAAATAATACTCTAGATTAAACACTAAAAATAAATTTAAAATTCTAAAAGCATCTTGTAATTGTTAATTTTCCATACAATGATCAAAACAATTAATATATTCAAGTTCAACCTAATGAAAATAAATTAATGATATTTTAGATTCTTTTGGAAAATGATGATTAACATTACTTCGGTATATAAGAAGAGGATTGCAACATTGTAGGACCATTAACGGATGATTAATTAATAGAAAAAGCAATGAGTGAACCCACGTCAATAATCGTAAGAAATTAACAGATGAAAATTTATAATGTTAAGTTAGATGGTGAATGCGCTTTGGTTTATGTAAATGATTCTGAATAGAAGTATATTGAATTAAATAAACTTAAATTGATAAATTTAAGTTATAAGGGAAACAGAAACCCCGGATAATTGAACATTGAAGTATTACCAAAACAAAAATTGTTGTATCGATTTGATAAGATTGATAAGACTTAATTATAATACGAATTTGAGTGCAATTAATAATTTAGATTTGAATGATTATTAACAATATGATTATCAATTTCACACAAATATTAATCAAAATCAAATTGCAAAAATTTTCAGTTTATTAATTAAATTTTTTAAACGCTTGATAAATCCCCTCTTTTTGAATTATTCTTCCTCAGCATCCATTAAAAAAACTTATAATTAGTAAGTGGACTTATGTAATGCCTAATAATTTATATTTTTGAATAATTATTTTCAGAGAATATCTCTTACAGTGTCTAAACATGGAAATCTTATTATATTCTATTCTTAAGAATTGTAAATTATAATGTTAAGTGAATTAATTAAACTCATAGATGTATTATTGTAGAATTATTATTTTATTATCAGTTTCTGGTATTTCAACCCCATGGAGCATCAAGTTAAGATTCAGATTAAAATTATTTATTTTAACTGTTTTAGATGAAGATGAGAGTTTTTTTAGATTTCAGAATATTTGTTTTAAACTTTTTCAATATTTTTTTGAAAGAGTTAGACTCTCTCAATAAAGACTTACGAAGGTTTAAAATATCCGTCTTGATCTTGTGGGTATGATTGACTATAATCATAATTAAAGTAAATCTATTATGCAATTGTATTTTCAGGTTAGTAGCCGTTAGTCTTAGGCTAAGATATTAGCATCTGATATTAGAATTTCTTAGTAAATTTATTACACTGCATTTAGTGATTTTAATCTATTTATCTGGTTAATTATATTATTTATAATAGATTTAAGTAAGTTTGACTTAAGGGATAGATTATTCTTTTCATCTTGAATAACTGAAGTTGAAATTTATTACTTTGCTATGAGCTATTATTTTTTGCTTTAGTATTTCATCTCTTTAGCTTAACATTTTATCCTCCTATTTTTTAGGATCCTAAAACTGTTTCCCTAACTTACTGGTTAAGGGTTAAACCTTGTTTATCATCATTACCTAACTATAATAATAATATTTTTATCCAGTTTACTTAACCAAAAAATTCACAATTGCTCTTGATAAATATCATAAGAGAGATTAACTAAAGGCTTTATTGAGTTACAAGGAGAATATTATTCTGCAACTTTAATAAATGTAGCAAACAAATGGTTGTCCGATTGTCAAACAATTTTATCATTAATAGTTTGAAACTTGGTCTGAATTTAAACTTATCTACCAGCCTTGCTTATTTCAGTTATTATCTCTATTTTTCATTTTATCTCTATCGATATTTCCAGATAAGTTTTTATTGTAAAATATAAATCTGATTATTCTTATTCAGTAGTATATAATTTTTTATTATGATTTCCCATTAATTAATTATTATTAATTAATGGGGAGTATTAGTTTTTTAAATCTAATTTTCTCCTTGATTTAGATTATTTTTAAATCTTCCTAAAGCTTTGTAAAATATATTTAGCACTTTCTAAATGTATCTGATCTACTCCAGAAGAGTACTTTGGCGTTTATATCATGATCAATTATTAGAGGTTTTCCTCCCAATATTCTCATCCCCATAACAAATGTATCCACATCCACACCTTTAGCGGTCAGCATAAAATAAGTAGTCATTAATCTCGGGCCTTTAGCTTTTATATTAGTTAGTTGGCTAGAAATTTGACCCATCTACTATTGTTAGCAATCTTATTATTCAAATTTAAAGGCCTATTTAAAGAAGTCACGTTCCCTTGTTAGATCAATGGGGAAGGAAAAGTCCACCAATTAACCACTCTATTAGCCATCTTAATACTACTTTTATCATCTGGATCTATTAGAACCTTAGCTATGACCTTTACTTTCATTTGGAGAATAGATTGAATAAATTTATTAAAATTGTTACAAGGTCAATTTTATTTCCCAAAAAAAAATTGTAATGAATTTTTCAGATTATAATGAAAGCATATTTTTATTTTCATCAATTCATTAATCCTATTAGTTACTCTATAGAAATTATAGTTGGTGGTATGATAAACCAAAAACACTGTAATATTATTTTTAAATGCTATCCTGCTGATTCGTAGACCTATCATTTACTGCTATTATTCACAGTAATTAGATGGGTAACTAACAATCTTGTAAATCTAAAAAGGTTATTAACTCCTGATTTAAAATTACATAAGTATTGAATTATTTAACTACATTACCATTAGAAATTAATATTTTGCTTACTTTTTCAAAATTGATTTAAGATTTTAACTTAATCACCAAATTGAACTATGAATATGATTAGATTAATAATTACTGTAATTATCTCTGATGTATAAATGAACTAAAATGGGCTATGCAGAACACTTATAATTAATTCATATTTTTTTATAAATTGATTATCTAAAAAATTGAGAAAAAAGGGATATATAATTTAAAGAGAGTTTTCAATATTGGCTAAATAATATATTATGTTCAAAAGATAAGGTTAAAAAAATTTCAAAGGGAATAGATATTTAAAATAATAATATTGTTGTTTTATTCATAATTTAATGGGGAAAGCAATAAAATATAATTTGAATATTTTAAGCTTTTGGACATCAACTTTTTGGATAAAATGCCAAAAATATGGTATGGACCAAAGGGTATATATAGCTCCATTAGGAAAAATAAGCAAGTGGGTTAAATTTTTATAGCAAGGACTATGAATAACTATATAATTATATTATACTATGATGAAAATATATATAAAAAGTTTTATTAAATTTCCATATAATTTACAAAAATAAAGAAACTTAAAAAAAAGAATCATGCCTTTGGCAAAATTAAAATTTTAATAACTTAGGAGCAAATCACAATAATTAAATTATGATAGAAAAAAGAAAATATAACATAAAGGAAATCATAGCAGCCACCAAGATCTACAATTCACAATATTTAACAAAAGACCAACAGCAGGCTTGAAAAGTAAACTATGGTATGGTTATTTTAATTAAAAGTAGAAAAAAATAGCATAATTAGATATAATTAGAGGAGGTAAAAATAAATAATCAAATATTTAATAAAAATAATTGGAAAAGAAAGAATCTTCTGAATCATATTTATTTGAATTCATAATTGAAAGGAATTAAATTAAAATAATATACTAGCTAAACATTTTCAAAGTTTGATTATTATAATTTTAAATGATAGGATTATTTTTATTTAGGTTTCTTTTCACATCTATGATAATATTCAAGTTAACAATATCTAAAATAATTTCTGAAATACATTAATATATAATCACATTAAGGTCGTTCGAATTATAATACTAAAATTAAAAACTTAAAATATTAGGTTGATGATAATATCAAAATAATTTTGGAGTGCTCAAATCATTACAAAGTCAGAAAAATTAAATAATTTGAAGTAGTTACCCAAAATAATAATAAGAAGAAGAACCGAAAATTATCAAATATATGTTTCTTTTTTTTTTATTGATTATATCTTGTTTATATTCTCCAAATATTAGCAAATACAACAAAATGATCTAGATTTATGAAATAGAATGCAATATCAATTAATAAAAATTAAATATCTGCTAAATTTAAGTTTTAAAATTTTTTTAAGACTTTGGGAAGAAATACCTTTACATATTTTTCTCTGTATTGTTATTTATTTTTAATAATTGATCATGCTCAAATTTATCCAAGGTATAATAATCTTCTACATTATGGATTAGCTTCTATAAATTTATCCAAATTAGCTTATGCACTAAAATGTTACAAATTTTTTACTTTGGTTCTTCTAAGTGGACTTTGGCGATTAATTTTAAGCATTCAGCTTCATCTTTTGGAAAAGCTCCTGCATTTTATTCTAAGACTCTAGAAGTTGATAATAAAAAATACTTTAATTTTCTTAAGACTTCAATTCTATCAAGCTAATAAATGATTTAATGTGGATCCACATATGTATTATCTATAGTAATATATGCAATAATACTTAGTCCATTTCTCTAAAAGTTTGTAATGACATTAAATTCCATTTTTTAGAATTCATCTAATGTAGATCGAGTGATATTTTAGAGATTCTGATCTTTTTTGGCAAAGCTATGCCTTAAAAAAAAAAATACTGTAAGTAGGATTAATGTTTAGTGTGATTCTGGACTAAGGCTTCATTTCTAGTTGTGCAAGTGTATGGTAAGAATTTAGCCTCAACATTAAAAATTCTATGAATATTTACTTAATATACCTGTGTACGGTATTGAACGCCTAAAACAATCTGTTTCTTAATGCCATTTTTTATTTTAAATAAATATGATATAAATAAATTATTTTTGATTAGCATTTGTTTAAACATTGAGAGTGCTTAAACAAGCAAAAATTTCATCCAATATAATTAATGAAAATCTATTTTACATAGTTTATATAATATAAAAAAGGAAACAAAATTATTTACTTCAATTTAAGAATAATATTTCAACTTTTTCTTGTCTTAAAATAATATAAAATATGTATTTATATCTTTAAAGGACATCCCTTTAGATTTATCAATTTTGAATTTTATCTAAAATTTAATAATAATTCTCTTCATTAATCATTTCATAATCAATAAAAGTTTATAATAAGACTTTATATGACTCTATTTAATTTAGATTAGCAAAAATAAAAATTTCTTATTTAGTATAATTTTATAACAAAAAATTACATTATCATTTGAAATGAAAATATGACTTATTAACAGAAGCATAGTTTTGAAAAATATACCATTTAAAAAGGGCTAAAGAGCTATGTTAAAACATCTTGAAGTAATTTACAGAAAAAAGGAAAGAAAGAAAAAATAATAAATATAAAAAAAAACTTATGATACTAATATAGCCTTAATGTCAAGCAACAAAAGATACATACAACAAACCATGAAAGGCAAACTCAAATTTGTGACTATAAGATTTTTTTGTGAGAAATCAAAAAACAAAACCTCAAAGATTTTTAGTTTAAAGCTTTTTAAACTTTGCTAAACAAAAAAATTACAAAAGTTATGAAATATTAATTTAAATATCTATAAATCTATTGTATAAATTCACAAAATGGTTCTTGAAACTTTCTTGGAGTTTTAAAATAATTTATGAAC